CTATCCTGTCTAGTAAGGATTTCTGTAGTTCAAGAATTTGTTTTTGAGAAAAAACTGTAGGGGAAACACTCTAAGACATTGATATCAATGATGACTTCTTGAACTAGACCCAGGCAACAAAATCAAGACTAAACAGATGAGATTATATTAAACTCAGATGCAATTGCACAGCAAAGGAAATTATTAATAGAGTGAAGAGGCATCCAACAAAATGAGAAAAATATTTGCATGCTACCTATCCAACAAAGAATTAATATCCTGAATATATCGTCAACTTAAAAATCTCAACAAAAACCCAACTAATCCAGTGAAGAAATGGGCAAAAACAAAAGAAGAAATACAAATGACCAACAATTTATGAAAAAATGCTGTACATCCATATTGATATATAAAAGAAATACAAATGCAAATCAAACCACAGTTAAATATCACCTAACCCCAATTAGAATGGCAATTACAAAAGACAGAAACAAATGCTGGTGAGGCTGTTGAAAAAGGGGAAACATAAACACTGTTGGTGGGAATGTAGATTAGTGCAGCCACAGTGGAAAACAGTGTGAATATTCCTTAAAAACCTAGAAATAGACTTGTTATATGATCCAGTAATCTCATTTTTGAGTGTACATGCAAAACACATGAACACATTGTATCAAAGAGGTACCTGCACTATCATATTTATAGCAGCACACTGTCCACAATAGCCAAAATATTGAATCAGCCAAGGTGTCCATCATCAGATGAGTGGCTAAATAAAATGTGGTATACCTACACAATGGGATATTGTTCATATATAAAAAGAAATTAAATTCTACCATTTGCATCAACATGGATGTAACTGGAGGACATCATGTTGAGTGAAATAAGCCAGACACAGAAAGACAAATTCTGCATGTTCTCCCTTATATGTGGGAGCTAAAGTAAAAAAGAAAATAAACAAAAAGCAAACAAAAAGAAATGCCTATGAGGATCAGTACTGCTGAAAATATATTTTGTCACACTCTGTTTCATATCTTGCCAAACTAATCATTAATACTTTCATACTACTATAATTTGAATAATCTATGATTACTTTAAAGTTTACTGTATATGAGTAAAATGGTCATGTTTACATTTGACTATTGTTTATAGTCCTTGCCAGATTCCCCCTAACTAGGATCATTTTGCTTTTTACCTGTTGAACCTCTTTATTTGGTGGAGAGTTAAGCCCTTGACTGTAATATCTCAAAATGGAAGAAGGAGAAGGAGAAGGAAAAGGAAGAAAGAAGAGGAGGAAGAGAAGGAGAAGGAGTAGGATGAGGAGGGGAAGGAAGGGGAAGGAGAATGGGAGGGTAGGAGGGAAAGGGAGGGACAGAGAGGAAGGAAAAATTATTATATTCGTAGAATCGTATCTATGAAGTATATTGAATCTGTTCAAAACCAAAAGTAAAAGAAAATTTTAAAAGGAAAGATTTAAAAAAATTAAAGGTAAAATCATAGATCTAACACAAATATATAATGAACACCTGTCAATGATTCTAAAAACTCATTAATTAACAAGAGAAATAGTAAGATGTTATAATTGGTTCAAAAGAGAAATCAAAGAAGAATCACTTGTTTATAGTAAGTAAATAAAAAAAATAAATACTGAAAACTTACAAATAAAGTGAAAACTGGTCAATATTTACAGGGTACTAATCAATTACATCCTCCACTGAACATAGCTAGTGTTCATTTCTATGGTAAAAAATCACTTGCATACAGTACTCTATTGCATTTCTATGGATGTCATTCGCATTATTGTCAGAGTTATACAGTTTATGGAGTTATCAAGTCATACTGCTGTAATTTCAGAAAAGAGAGAGGAATTCTTCATCAAACAAATTTTTAAAAAGATTTATTTATTTATTTGAAAGGCAGAGTTACAGAGAGGCAGAGGCAGAGAGAGGGAGAAGTTTTCCATCTGCTTGTTCACTCCCCAGATGGCTGCAACAGCTAGAACTTGGCTGATCCAAAGCCAGAAGCCTGGAGCTTCTTCTGGATCTCTCACATGGGCGCAGGGGCCCAAGGACTTGGGCCATCCTCTACTGCTTCCCCAGTCCATAGCAGAGAGCTGGATCAGAAGTGGAGCAGTCGGGACTTGAACCCATGCCCATATGGGATGACGGCACTGCAGGTGGCAACTTTACCTGCTATGCCACAGCGCCAGCCCCAATCAACAAATCTGAAAATGGCTCATCCTGATGATAATAAAAGTAAAGCCTCAGTTATAGCATGTTTAATAAACTACAAATTTTCTGTGGCTTTGGAAATATGATTTTGACTCTTGTCTCTAGAAAAGTAATTCACTAAAACAGCAGATTAGAGATGGGAGCCAACTAGGACTGCATTAGAGGTTGAAATCGGGCAAAGTTTAGACACCTTGTCTCTGACAGTATTTTGTGACAATGTATGATGGCAGTTCCATCACAGATACTTCTCAACTGGAAATTCCAGGAGACTACGTTGGAGGTAGCAGCTATGTTATACAACCTCACAATGATGCTGAGGACAGCATGAGTGATCACGAAGACACAAATGGATCAAAAAAAAGTTTCCAAGAACGAGATTATTTTCCACTGTGACAAAGGTAATGAAGAATGCCCTACCTCAAACAGGAAAGATTGCAAAAGATGCCTAAGAATGTGTTCAAGGATGTGTGAGTGAGTTCATTAGCTTTGTACCATCTGAAGCAAATGAAAGTTGTCATCAATAGAAACAGAAGACAATCAATGGAGAAGACATTCTCTTTGCCATGTCCACCTTGGACTTTGACCCTTATATGGAGCCTCCAAAACTGCACCTTTAGAAATTCAGAGAGGCTATGGAAAGAGAGAAAGGAATTGATGGAGCAGCCACAGACAGCAGGACTAAGTGAAGAGATTACAGAGGAGGCATTCGCTAACCAGTTACTTGCCAGCTTAATAACTGCCAATGGTCAACACCACAATGTTATGCTTTAAACAACATCATATAAACGGATTTCTGGTGTACAACAAATTCAGTTTTCATGATCTGAAAAAATACTAGGGTGGGAATATAGAGAAGAGAGAGTCTGTGTGATTCTGGAACAGAGACATTAGAAGAAAATGGTGAAAAAAAGGTCTCTTTGTACATTAAATAGCTGTAATATAGCTTGCTGAAGCTTGACTAATTGAGGTGTTAATTCTGAATTGAGGATCTTTTTCATGAATGATTTTAAACAACAATTTGGATTTTAAAGGTATTACTATATATTTGTCGCGTATGAGAATTTGTTGCTCTGTATGACTCTGGTATGCACTGTATATTGCAATTTATTATGGTCAGAGATTTGTACACAGTTTCTTATTTTCATAGTGAACCATGTTACTTTTATAATTCCAGTAAGCAGATGGGTTAATTCATGATATTTGCCCTTTTGATAAAATATAAGAGTAGAGTTCATTTTGATTGCTGCCTTTATTATAAATGTGAGTTTGTCTTGGCTGCATATAGTATCTTGCATGATAAGCTAGCTAGACTTTTAGCATTTTACATATTTATTAAAATCGATTTTTTTGTAAAATATTCAAAGCAGTACTATTTAAAAATGTAGTTGAATAATTGTGAATGCAGAGGAATCTATTGTCTGCCCTTTTAAACTTGGTTCCTGTTAACAGTGTTTACATTGTTCATTGTGCCTGTTAACATAGTTTTACTTATTAGAGACTTTGTTAAAACTAGATTTGTTTTTGAGCTACATTATTGTAAGTTTTAGAATTCATTTAAATTTAATGTATTTCTAGAGCCCTTAAAATGGTGCCTCTCTCATTTGGTTTATTTATTTTATTTGAAAGCATAAATTCAAGTATTATACTATCCTTTTTCAGAAGAGGAATTTTATAATCTGATGGCAAATGTTCTCATTTTACATTTTTTATTGAAATCTCAAGTTTTCTATTATACTGTGGAAACCAAAAAACACTGAACATCATTATATGTGTATGCTTTTTGCACGATGAGTGAATAAGAATGAGAACAGAGCAAGTTCTATGAACAGTGTGAAAGAGAAACTATGATTTACTTCGTGTGCTATCTTGATCTTTGCATTGAATTAAATTTAGATGATGTAACTTTATGTAATTTAGTAGTATGTATCTTTGTTGTTCCTTTTTTAAAATAAGGATTTGTGTTTTCTCATCTGTTTTTTATTGTGATAGTTAACTCACGGTAGTTTTAAAAATTTTGATATCGCAGATTGCTAATGTATACTTTGTCTAAATGGAAGTTTGAGTGAATTACATCTTTGAAGGACACTCAAATTTATAAGCCAGAAGCAGTCTCCCACTGACTTTGCCAGGAGCTTTTGAGGGCATATTTTGTCTACTCTAGGTAATAATTCCGTTCTCCCACCCCCTTGTTTAAAAAAATATTCATTATAGAAGATTCAAATAGGAAAAAAAGGGATGGGTAGCTAAGCAGAATCAACTATCATCCTACCATTTTGAAATAACCAGTTTTAATATTTTGATAAATATAATTTGTCCTTTTACTTTATAAAATATGTATATTTTTATAAAAATGGGCTAATTGTGCGTATTGTTTTGTAACCTGCTTTTTTCACTTGACAATGTACTGTTAATGTCTTTGCTAGGTCATGCATGGTCTTCTGCATAATTTTTATTGGATTATTATTCTATTGTATGAATGAATGATAATTTATTTACTCCTCTACTGGACATTTTGACTATTGACATCTTTTCAATTATAAACAACAGTTCACTGAAAAAAAAGAAACGTAATTCAGTAATATTCATGATATTCTACTTACACAAGGGGTATCTCGAAGTATGGAAACCAACCTAGGACCCGTTACATGTTTTTTCACTTGTTTGTATGTTTTAAGATAATATTTTAACCTAGTTGTTTCTTACAGAAGCTTGGAGCTATAGATATTGGTATTTACCAATTTTCTTATTGTCTATTACCTATTTGCTGTTGCCTATTTCTTTTTTACGTTTCAGGTGCTGGGAACTTACTGCTGGAGATAAGTGGATTTATCAAGCCCCCATCTTAGTGGCAATTGGGGTAAGTTTAAAAGCTTGTATAGTTTAAAAGACAATAATCAAACTCCTGCTAAAACCAGGAGAAAGTGTATCTCTCTTTACAATAGCTTTGGGAGACACACATGTATAGCAATAGCTGTTGAGAGAGTCTGGGTTGCAAATCAGACTCTTTCCTGAATATTGAGACTCATGTCAAAAGCATGTACCCTTCTGTTGATCTGCTAGTATATGGGGTCAATTTCCAGACTTAAAAATATCTATAAATATTTATATTTAGGGTGTTGGAAAGTCAAAATACCTTCCCTTTTTCCGTCTACTATATTATATCTCCACTTTAATGTTCTGATTGCCTGGAATAGCAGAGGAGTAACAAATGGCTTTCTGTAGTATGATTCATTCTAAAGCTTTGTTTAAATCTTTTTGGAATATATCACCCAGGGGTTAAGTGGATTAGATAATAAGATATATGACATTATTTTTATAAAGATTTATTTTATTTTTTGCAAGGCAGAGTTACAGAGAAATTGGGGGAGAGAGAGAGGTCTTCCATTCTCTGGTAATTCCCCAAATGGCTGCAATGGCCAGAGCTGTACCAGGCCAAAGCCAGTCGCCAGGAGCTTTTTCTGGGTCTCCCATATTGGTGCAGGGACCCAAGGACTTGGGCCATCCTCTGCTGCTTTCTCATATGCATCATCAAGGAGCTAGATTGGAAGTGGAGCAGGTGGGACTTGAACCAGCACCCATATGAGATGCTGGCATTGCAGGCTGCAGCATAACCTATTAGGCCACAATGCTGCTCCCCAAATATGAATTTCAGAATTGTTTTTTTCTATTACTGTGAAGAATGCTACTGAGATTTTGATAGGGATTGCATTGAATCTGCATATCGCCTTGGATATTATGGACATTTTAACAATATTCATTCTTCTAACTCAACGTGTCTTCTCATTTATTGTATATATCAAAATTTTATAATTTTCAAAGTATAAATCTTTTACCGTGAAGGTTAAGATGACTCCCATGTATTGTTTTCTTTTTTAATTGTTATTATAAATTGGTTTGTTTTTTTTAGTTTCCTTTTGGAGTAGCTCACTGTTGAGCAATTTATTTATTATTTTATCTGGATTCTTCTTATAGCTCTGTTTTGTTTTGGCATCTGCCCCAGGGAGGTAACTGTGCAATTCCACCTCTCCTTAGAGGTGCTAGTTTTCTTTAGATTTTGAGTTTGTTTGCCATCCTGTAACTGTGCTCTCTGATGAGTTAAATAAAGTTTTTTAAAAAGATTTATTTGAAAGAGTTACAGAGAGAGGTGAAGTCTGAGAGAGGTCTTCTATATGCTGGTTTGCTCCCCAAATGGCTGCAACAGTCAGAGCTGAGCCAATCTGAAGCCAGGATCCAGGAGCTTCTTCTAGGTCTTCCACGTGGGTGCAGTGGCGCAAGGACTTGGGCCATCCTCTTTTCCAGGTACATTAGCAGAGAGCTGGATCAGAAGTGGAGCAGCAGGAACTTGAATCAGTGCCCATATGGGATGCCAGCACTGCAAGCCAGGGATTTAACCTGCTGTGCCAAAGTGCTGGCCCCTTAAATAAAGTCTTAAACATTTATTTATTTGATTTATGGATTATCCAACATTTCTTTTTTATGATGTTGGGAGCCACGCTCTTTTTAGCTTTCTATTGCTGGGGAAATGTTATTAAAGACAAAATCTCCTGACTCAAAAATCTTTTCCACAAAGGTAGCAGAGAAAGAGAACACTTTTAGTTCAAAATTATTAAACCAGAATGTGATGCATATTATAAGCAAACTGCTAAGAGATTGCAGAGACAGATCCTCTAAATAGGCAAGTGGATACAAAGCATGATACGCATGCTTCCTGAAATAACTGCTTCTCAAATAACAGGACCTGAGAAGAACACTTAGCACACAGGATTCATCCCAATTACCTGGTAATTGCAGTGACCATCTGTTAGCTAATTAGCTTTATCCAGAGGAAAAGTAAACTTTTCATCTCTTTATGGCAGGAAGTAGTTTTGTCTTTAGGCTCCTGCAGAAGTTAGGCTCCCAGCCTCCTACAAAAGCCTGGAGACAGGGTTGCTATCTTTTGCATCTTAAAGAGATGGTTCCAAGGTCCTTGAGAAAGGTATTCCTGGGTCATAAAGCTGACAAAAGACTTTTCTAATTTTCAAAATGATTTGCATACATTTTAAAGAGATAAGAAAGTACTTGGAAATTTTTTAAGTTAAATACTCCGAAAAAAAGGAGAGAGGAAACTCTTTCCTCCCATTTTTCAACAGGAAGAATTAAGCTTCTTTTTGTATTTGTAATTATTCTTACACTATCGCCTTTGCAGAAACAGAAGCAGAAACAGAAGCAGAAGTCTCTGGGCTAATTTGAATGTGAATTTGTGTAGTATTGATTTCCAGAAAAACACTTCTGTGTATTTTCTTCCAAGGATTTCAGACCCTGGAGAGATCCTGGGACCATGAAGCCCACAGCTCTCATTTCACTGGAAAGCCAGCCTGTAAAGGAAGAAATAGGACTAAAACTTAATGTCAACACTCAGCGTGGTGCTCCATCCTTTGGTTGATTATGTGTCATGAAGCAGATACAGATAACAACAACAAACATGACATAATTCTAATCGTGTGCTAGACATTGTTTTAAACATTTTATTTATATCAGTTTATCTAATCCCCATTATAACTCTGAATGAAGTAATTGCCCAAGGTCTCAAAGATAGTAAATGGTAGAGCTGGAATTCTAAGTTTAGGATCCATGATCCAGAGCTATGAGCTCCTTGCACTTATAATGAAATCTAAAATACAGAGAATGCCCTGTCACTCACACACATACACGTGTACACACTGTATCCTAGCCATGCTGTTTTATTATGAGTTCTTTGGACTTGTTCACCTCTGTCCCATCTCAGGTCTATTCCACATGCTTGTGATACCTCTGGAAGGGTGGGATGTGCCTCCTTCTATTACTTACTTCATTGTACTTAAAAACACTTTAAAAATTATGTCATTAAAATTTTTTAGTAAAGAACAGATTTCATATATTTCATGGATATAACTTAAAGATACCTCCATCACTCCACCAAACCCCCTTCCTTCCTTCCTTTCTTTAAGTTTTCCAATAACATGATTTAAATTTACTTTATAATCACAGGCTTAATGTATCACTAACCATCGTGTTCAACAAGTAAAAAGTAGAAAGACCACTGTTCCATAGGGATGTAGACAAGATCTATAAATAATAATCAAGTAATAAGATATCAGGTTCCTTCTTATACTTTTTTGTATTCTATATTAACTACCACAAATCAAAGAAAACATGGTATTTGCCTTTTTTATTTCATGAAGCATAGTAGTCTCCAGTTTGTTGTAAAAGACAGGATTTCATTCCTTTTTATGGCTGAATATTATTTCATTGTTTATATATATTATACAATTTCTTTATCCAGTCATTAGTTGATGGATATCTGGGTTGACCTCACATCTTAGCTATTGTGAATTGAGCTGCTGTAAACATGGAGGCACAAATAACTCTTTCATATTTTGATTTTACCTTCAAATTCCCAGGAGTGGGATGGCTGGGTCATATGGCAGATTTATTTTAGGATTTCTGAAGAATCTTCATACTGTCTTCCATAATGGTTGTACTAATTTACTTTCCCACCAACTGTGGATTAGTATACCTTTTCCTCCACATAATAACCATCATTTGTTATTTTTTGATTTTTGGGTGATAATCACTCTAACTTGGGTGATGTGAAACTTCCTTTTTGTTTTTATTTGTATTTCTCTGATGGCTAGTGATCCTGAACATTTTTTCATGTGTCCATTGATCATTTGTATTTCTTCCGTTGAAAAATGCATGTTCATGTTCTTTGCCCATTTCTTAACTGGATTGTTTGTTTTGTTGTTGTTGAGTTCCTTGAGCTCCTTGTATTTCCTGGATTTTAATCCTTTATCAGATACATAATTTGCAAATATTTTCTTCCATTCTATTCATTGCCTCTTCACTTTGCTGAGTGTTTTCTTTGCTGTGCAGAAGCTTCTTAGCTTGATGCATTTCCATTTGTCTATTTTTTCTTTTACTGCCTGTGTTTCTGGAGTCTTGGATTCCAGAAGTCTTTACTTAGGTCAACATCTTGCAGGGTTTTCCCAATATTTTCCTCTAGTAATTTGTTTTTATTAGGTCATAGATTTAAATCATTGATTCATTTGTGTTGATTTTTGTATAAGGTATAAGGTAGGGGTCTCATTTCATACTTATGCATGTGGAGATCCTATTTCCTCAACAGCATTTGTTGAAGAGACTGTCCTTTCTCTAGGAAATGGCTTTGGTTTGATTGTCAAAGATTAGTTGGTTGTACCTGAGTGGATTAATTTCTGGGGTTTCTATTCTATTCCATTGGTCTACATATCTTTTTTGTACCAGTACAAAAAAGTACTGCCCTGTAGTATGTCTTGAAATCTGGTGTTGTTATGCCTGCAGCTTAATTTTGTTATTTAAGATTGCTTTAGCTATTCAGGGTTCTCTTGTGTTTCCATATGAATTATAGGATACTTTTTTCAAGATTTGAGAAGAATATTTTGACTCACATGTAATACATGTGTATTTTTATGAGCTATAGTGCAATATCTCAATACATAGGGATAACATAGCTGATTGAACCTGGCAACTAGTCTCTCCATATTCAGATCTCCTCTTTCTGATGGAACTCTACAAGCCCCTCTCTACTAGCTCATTATATGGTATATTCTACATTGTTAAGAACTATAGCAGTCCACTGTGTTTTGTTACAGTGAAACTCACTTATATCTGAATGTGTTTTAGAAGCCACATCCAACTTCCCTCTGTCCTCTCTCCCATCCTTCCAGCCTCTAATAAGTCTCTATTCTAAGTTCTATGTGACTTCCTTGATGCCCTGCAATATAAATGATGTCACCTATTATAATCCACAGAACACAGTAAGATTTTTCTTCTGAACATCACCACCATGAATAATATTTT